CCTTAATCCATCCTCCTACCTTAGCCTCCCAAAGTGCTGGGATTACAGGCATGAGTCACTGTACTTGGCCTTAAATGCATATTGCTAAGGGAAAAAAGCCAGTATGAAGAAGCTACAAACTATGTAATTATATAGCATTGTGAAAAAGGCAAAAATTGTTTTTTAAAACAGTAAAAAGATCAACAGTTGTCAGGCACTGGGGAGGGAGAGAAGGATGAACAGGTAGAGAACAGGGGATTTGTAGGATAGTTTCATGATTCCATATGATACTGTGATGGGAATACATGTCATTATACATTTGTCAAGACCCAAAGAATGTCAAAACAGAGTGACTCTTAGTGTAAAGTATGGACTTTAGTCAATAATAATGTATCAATACTGGCTCACCAATTGTAACAAATATTCCACACTAAGGCAAGATGTTAATAATAGAGGAAACTGAGGAATGAGTGGATGGGTATATGGGAACTCTAAATTTTCCTTTCAATTTTTCTGTAAGCCTTTTAAAAATGCTTTAAAAAATCAATTAATCAGTTTACATCAGTGTCCAGTATTTCATTCCATTCTTGTTTTTTTTTCTTAAGTCACATTGGCATAACCTAAAGACCTATTTTTGCAGATTATAATGCAAGTAGACATTTTTAGTAAACTAATATAACCGTGAAAAAACTTGGAGTATTTTCTACATTTCAATGTACTACATAGCATAAAGCAGAGATCTTAAAACTGAAAAAATGCATGCCCTTTGGGTTTTACACTTTTCAACACTATGTGGCCATGGGCAGTTTCAAAAGAATTCAATTTTGAGATCCTTAGTTTCCATAGTTATTCTCTTCTAAAATTAATCTACTTGAAAACATACTACTGTTTGTAAGTTCTCCTTTTCCATTTAATTGAACTTGGTAAAAGAAGGCATAGCTCTCACCCACCCTGGATCTTAGAGTGTGGTGCATTGGTCCTAAGGGATAGTTCCATAACTGACAAACAGATGAACTAAAGGGGCTTGCATTTCGTTTCATAATGACCATGGGACACCCTCACAACAACAGAAAGTGAGGAGATTCTCCTAGAAACAGTTTAATTACAATTTAAAAATGAAGTAGGACTTTGTACTCATCAATCTGACAATGATTGCCAATTAGAATATATCATAAACCTTTTCTACTAATTGAATGACTCAATTGGTGTGTATCTGTGGTCCCAGCTACTTCTTGGTTTGGATGAAAATATATTAAATCATATATTTAATAGGTCAGAAATTACACCCTTAGTCACTATTTAAACTTATAATAGGAAATTTTATATCAAAATATGTGTGAGGAAGTACATGGTTTTAAAAAATGATTTACACATCAATAAAAATACTGATATTGAATAAACTTGCTAAACTTGACCATAACCCAAAAGCTACAAAGAGGGCTTGGCCTTTGGAGTCTCTTAAAGGCTTGAATTGGAGCTTAGCCATTCATTTGATATATGACTTCGCACCAATGACTTAACCTCTCTAAGCCTCTTTATCTGACTCTGAGAACTAGCTGTGGGGATTAAATGAGATAATACCAACAAAGTACCTATACAGTGTCTAACACTTAGTACCTACTAAATAATAGCAATAATTAATATTATTTCAACTAGTATAAGCTTCCAAGCTCATTTGTTCTTGTATATAATTTAGATAGGGAAGAAGAGAGGAAGCAATTTGAGAGAAACTGAGACATACAAACTCACTTTTTTGAACACCTTATCATGTTTAAGACACTATTCTAAAGAGAACAGAATGAACGAAAATCCTTGTTCTTGTGAAACCTACATCCTAGTACAGGAAGATGGAAAGTGAACATAACAGATATGAAAATTATACAGCGTATTAGAAGGTAGTGAGTGCTACGGGAAAACATGAAGCAGATTAAGAGTGATTGGGAATGGCAGAATGGGGGTAGATTGCTACTTGGAAAAGGATAGTAAGGAAACCCTCATTAAGAAGGTGACATATTAACAAATATTTGAAAGCACTGAGGAAGATAGCTACGAAAAGATCAGAAAGAATAACATTTCAGGCAAAGGAAACACTCAGCAAAGGCCCGGAGGCTCAGTATGTGCAAGCAAGGAGGCCAGTGTGGCTAAAATGGAGCAAATGGTGGGAGAGGAATAACAAATGAGATCAACCAGGTCACATAGGGTCTTGGTGGCCACTTAAGGATTTGAGTGAGATGAATAATCAACAGAGAGTTCTGAGCAGTGAAATGACATGATTCGTCTCATGTTTTAAAAGGATCATCCTCTTTGCTACTGTATGAGAACAGACTGAAGGAGGTCAGGGTTAAAAGAAGAAATCTAGTTAGGAGGCTTGGACTGAGTGGTATCATTTGAGGTGGTAAAACTGTTTAAATTATGAATATATTTTAAAGCAAAGCCCACAAGACTTTCTGTCAGAAAGAATGTTGGGTGAATAGTAATTGTTTTCTTCTATAAAAGTCTTCCTATAAACACCTGAAAAAGTTTGTATAACCAGTTTTTAGAGGGAAGGGACTTCTTTCATAACTTCCACAGTATAAGTCTCTAAGAGGTTAAGTGAGAAAAGCAACCATACATAGCATTTGCATTTCCTACAGTGCCTACATCACTTTAGTACTGTACACGCTTAATATATTTTTAAAAAGATGAAATGGAAAGGAACAATCCAAGATGGCCAATCGCTAACATCCCGGGATTGCAGCTCTCAGGGAAGGCGCGGAGAACTAGAGGACGCCACACTTTCAGACAAAGTCTGGTCGCTCACGGAGCAGAAGATCCCCCAGTGGTGGAAACACACGAGTCGCCAGCACGACTCTCGTGGTCGGCGCAGCGGTTCCGTAGGCACCTCGACGCGGCAGCGCTCGGCGCAGAGTAAACGGGACCGGTTCCCCTTCTGACCAAGGTTTGGAGCCCCGGGAAGGCAGAGTCGCCTACTAAGGAAACAAGAAGGAAGCCCGACAGGAGAATCCTGGGCAGAAAAGCACCATCAGTTTTAACGCTGCTGCTCTGGCCCTGGGAACTAACAACCTGGACGTCCACTCAAGAGACCTAATCTGAAAGTTGGTAATTTCAAAGACGACAGGAGGATAAATTTACAATGATGGGAAGAAACCAGCGTAAAAAAGCTGAGAATACTCAAAGTCAGAACGCCTCTCCCTCTAAAGATGATCACAGTTCCACATCAACAATGGAACAAGGCTTGATGGAGAACGAGCGCCTCCTGATGACAGAATCACTCTTCAAGGAATGGATAACAACAAACTTCGGTGAGTTAAAAGAACATGTTGTAGCCCAACGTAAAGAAACTAGGAACTTTGAAAAAAGGTTTGATGAAATCCTATTGAGAATAGACAACTTAGAGAGGAGTATGAGTGAATTAATGGAACTGAAGAATACAATACAGGAACTCCGAGAAGTATGCACAGGTTTAAACACTCAAATTGTTCAAGTAGAAGAAGGGATATCAGAGGTCAAAGTCCAACTTAATGAAATAAAACGTGAAGAAAAGATGAGAGAAAAAAGGATAAAAAGGAATGAGCAAAGTCTCCAAGAAATGTGGGACTATGTGAAAAGACCAAATTTACGTTTGATAGGTGTACCTGAATGCGACGGAGAGAATGAATCCAAGCTGGAAAATACCCTTCAGGATATTATTCAGGAAAATTTTCCTAAACTAGCAAAGCAGGTCAACATTCAACCCCAGGTAATACAGAGAACACCACAAAGATATTCCTCAAGAAGAGCAACCCCAAGGCACATAATCGTTAGATTCACAAGGGTTGAAATGAAGGAGAGGATACTAAGGGCAGCCAGAGAGAAAGGTCAGATTACCCACAAAGGCAAGCCTATCAGACTTACAGCAGATCTCTCGGCAGAAACTCTACAGGCCAGAAGAGAGTGGGGGCCAATATTCAACATCCTCAAAGAACAGAACCTTCAGCCCAGAATTTCATATCCAGCCAAACTAAGCTTCACAACTGAAGGAAAAATAAAATCTTTTATGAACAAGCAAGAACTCAGAGATTTTATTACCACCAGGCCTGCTTTACAAGAGCTTCTGAAAGAAGCATTACACACAGAAAGAAACAACCAGTATTAGCCTTTCTAAAAATACACCAAAAAGTAAAGAGCACCAACATAAAGAAGAATTTACACCAACAAATGGATAAAACAGCCAGTCAACATCAAATGGTAGTAACCCTAAATTTAAATTGACTGAATTCCCAATGAAAAGACACAGCCAAAACCCAACGGCATGTTACATCCAGACCTGTTTCACATGCAAGGATACACAAAGACTCAAAACAAAGGGATGGAGAAAGATTTACCAACCAAATGGAGAGCAAAAATAAATAATAAATAAATAAAAAGCAGGAGTTGCAATTCTTGTATCGGATAAAATAGATTTTAAAGCAACAAAGATATAGTGGTAAAAGGATCAATGCAACAACAAGAGCTAACGATCCTAACACCCAGATAGGAGACTTAGATTCAATGAGACAGAAAATTAATAAGGATATCAAGGACTCGAACTCAGATCCGGAACAAGTAAACTTAATAAATATTTATAGAGCTCTCCACTTCAAATACATAAAATATACATTCTTGTCAATACCACATTACACCTACCCATTAGTTTAAATGAAACATTGATTGGCCATTATTAATACCCAATTTTTTTCAAAATAAAGCAATATTTCCATTTACTCTCCCTCTTTCTCTTCCTCTTTCTTCCTCTCCTTTACTTATTTTTTTTTTCTTTCCTTCTCTCAAAAAAAAAAGAAATCAACTTGTAAACCTCTAGATCCAGGTCGGCAATGTCTCTCTCATTGCTTGATTTCCTTTCTTCCCTTCCCTCTCTCCCTCCCTCCCTCCCCGCTTCCTCCCTTCCTTCCTCCCTACCGTCCTTATTCCCTTCCTTCCTGCCTTCCTCCCCTCCCCCCAAAAAAAAAAAAAAAGACGAAATGTATTAATTGTCATATTACACTCCTTCTCTTGGGGACAACAATTCTGCCCATTCGATCTGTCACAATCTCTTCCCTGTCCTGCCCTTAACTTTTCACTTCTGAAAGTGATGATTTTTCCTACGTGCTAATAATGTATATGCTAAGGAAACCAGATGGAGAAATAACTGCCTTTTTGTAGTATTAGCAATAAAATAGAAAAAAAAGGGTTACAGCGGTAACCAAGCATTTAGCTTCCATAATTTCCAAAGCTTTGTTACTGCTACATTGTATACAAACATAAGCACACTTTACAATCCAAGTGCTTTTTTTTTTTAACTAGGTACTAGAAACCTGAATTAATGAAGACATTGTTACTGCTATTCTGTAAAGAGGTAACACTCAGTTTTGTTTTACTAATATGGACAGACTGTTAATTCAGTTCTTAAATGTAAATCCTCTCAAAATTCATGTTCTTGAGTAAGTTTAACTTTATCAGTACCTTCAGGTTTGAGAGAAAAGCCATGCCCTGGCATTTTTCAAAGAGGCCTTACATGAAGACTGCAGTGTTGTAGGAAAGAAGGTTTTATCTCCATTTACTCCCAATCCTAAAATGTACAACTGGTAAAATGAAGAGAAATGGTTGACAGGTCAAGCTAAAATGGTAACTCTTTTAAGTTTTATAAATGAGATTTTCCTTTTCCTACTGTTTTGGCACAGCTTTCTAAATATACTTATACTAGAGACTTCTATTCAAATTAGATGAAAATACATGTTTCCTTATTTTCTACCTGTTATTTAACAACTGAAGACATGGTGATGACTAGTAACATCACACTTAAAGGTTTTCCTATGAAGTTGCCAAGAGCATGCAAGCAATTAAACACACCAACTTGGGAGCAATCTTTTCCATATTTTGTTAGCAAAAATTGCGTCTGTAATGTTTTGTTGTGAATCCTTTATTAAATAAAATTTTCTATAATGCTTACAATGTTTAAAATTTCTCAGAGGTTTACAAAATAATATTTTATTAGATGCTTTATTAAAAAAAATTCAAGAGATTCCATAGATTTTGTCCTATTGTTCACTTCAAATAGAAAACAATACCACTGCCGGGAGCAGTGGCTCACGCCTGTAATCCAAGCACTTTGGAGGCCAAGGTGGGCGGATCACCTGAGGTCGGGGGTTCAAGACCAGCCTGACCAACATGGTGAAAACCTATCTTAAAAAAAAAAAAGAAAACAATACTAATGACCCTAATTTCTCAAATGCTATAAACAGACTAGGAAGTGCTAATGGTATTCTCCATGCAGGATACCTCCAAAGGTCATAATGTGGTTTGTTTTTATGGACATATAATACATTTCTTGTGGACCAAGGCAATCTGAAATAATCAGTTATATCTTAATAAACAAGCAGCTCTATAATTTGGGAAATACTCTGAATGAATGTTTTATTATAATGAATAGAACCTCTAAGAAATACTGCTCTATTTCCGTTAAAGAGAGTAACCATGAGCTATCTAGTATTTCATCAGATATCAAAAAAATTAAGTAAATACTAGTACGTCATATTGTATAGAACAAATTCCAAACATATTTAGCATGTTTAAACATGGATTAACGGTGTTTTCTTTTAAATAATTCATATCTATAGCATATAGATATGACAATTAAAAATGTGGAATTTATGATGGATAACTGATAATGAGACTACTGCAGCCTGGGTGACAGAGTAAGAAACCGTTTCAAAACAAAAACAAAAACAAAACCCACCAGTGCTTCATGCCTGTAATCTCAACACTTTGGGAGGTTGAAGCGTGTGGATCATCTGAGGTCAGGAGTTTGAGACCAGCCTGGCTGACATGGCAAAACCCCATCTCTACTAAAAATACAAAAATTACCCAGATGCAGTGGCGCACACCCATTGTCCCAGCTACTTGGGAGCCTGAGACTGGAGAATCACTTGAACCCAGGAGGCAGAGGTTGCAGTGAGCCAAGATCACGCCACTGCCCTCCAGCTTGGGAAACAGAGGGAGACTCTACCTCCAAACAAACAAACCAACCAACCACCAAAACCCAAAAACCACTGTCATACATTTATAGTTTTATTAATTTCCAGGTTTTAAATTTCCATACTTAAACTTAGAATATCATCAACTTATATGAAAGTCATTTGGGTGAACTGTGCATGTGATAACTGTTTTACTGAATTATAAATTTTTTAAAAAAATTACTTATTTTATTATTTTTTATTTTGAGACAGGGTCTCACTCTGTCACTCAGGCTGGAGTGCAGTGGCACAATCATGGCTTACCATAGCCTCAACCTCCTGGGCTCAGGTGATCCTCCTACCTCAGCCTCCTGAGTAGTTAGGACTATAGGTGCCCACCACAATTTCCAGCTAATTTTTGTATTTTTTGTAAAGATGGGGTCTTGCCATGTTGCTCAGACTGGTCTCAAATTCTTGGGCTCAGGTCATCCACTCATGCCGTAGCCTGCCAAAGTGCTAGGATTACAGGTGTGAGCTACCATGTTTGGCTTGAATTATCTTTCAATTCACATATGATCAATAAAAATCATATCTAAAAAGTTATATAGGTTTTTCACAGCACTGGAATAAACATCATCCTTACGAAATGCTAGGATAACAAAATCTCCTCATAACAAAAGACTTCTAAGTTCTAAATGACTGCTCCATTTTTTAAAAAAGTAATAATTGGTGTAACTTCAATAAACAAAACAATTTGAACAGTTCTTACAAACTTCTGCAACAGAGAAGACATTTATTGAATCATGTAATAATCGGTATAGAGTGTAGTCATGCTGGCTCCATTGTCATAAATCACTTAAAACTGGGTGCAGATGGTAAGCTGGTAAAAGCCAGGAGTGTCCTTACTGGGGGTATCCAGAAGTTTTCCTATCCCTATTAGAAATCAGGATTGAAGAGTAGACTATTTAGTCAACAGCCTTGCTGCCCCAGTCCCTTCATCTACCTTCTAAGTTTCCCCTAGAAAAACAAAAATGAACACTAAGCAGCTAAAATCCAGTTCCTGCTTACAACAAAGTTCTTGGTGGGAATGAGAGAACTGTAATACTGTAACAGACCTGGAGCTTGATGACCTATTTTAGCTGCTAGCAGCTAAACCTTAAGTCACATGGCTACTTTAGAGGTTCACAGAATTCTGACTGTAGCAGAGTCAGGCATGCAAAGTGCTTTTCACAGTCACTTGGCAAATAAGTCTTGCTGCTTCTTTTCTATCTTGAGATGCTGCAGCCATTACTCACCAGGGATGTCAATGTGCCATTAGAAAGGTTGTTGTGAGGATACAGTTTTGGTATCTGTGTTTAGTGGTCTACATCTAAATATTCATGTGTCTATGAGGGCTATTAGATGCTAGGCTAGGTGAGGCTTTTTGTTGTATGCCTTTTAATCAAACTGGAAAGAAGTAGGAAGTGGAAAAATATCTTGTTTATAAAGACACAAAATCTATGTCTCAATTTAGTAAGCTATTTATCTATACTATCTTAAATCTCTGAGATTATGTATAATGTATGATGTTTACTTCTAATGACTGATAATGTGTATTTTCTTTCAATGGTTTAAGTAATATGAAATAAACATATACTTCCCTTTGCTAACTTTAAATACTTTCTTTTTTCTTTTTCTTTTTTTTGAGACGGAGTTTCGCTCTTGTTACCCAGGCTGGAGGGCAATGGCACGATCTCGGCTCACTGCAACCTCCACCTCCCGGGTTCAGTCAATTCTCCTGCCTCAGCCTCCCGAGTAGCTGGGATTACAGGCACGCGCCACCATGCCCAGCTAATTTTTTGTATTTTTAGTAGAGACGGGGTTTCACCATGTTGACCGGGATGTTCTCGATCTCTTGACCTCGTGATCCACCCCCCTCGGCCTCCCAAAGTGCTGGGATTACAGGCTTGAGCCACCGCGCCTGGCCCACAAACGTTAAATACTTTCTAATGGCACCAGGCTAGTTAAATGATTTTTGCTCTCAAGCTTGCATGTCAAATGAGCTACAAAATCCATCTTTTAAGTTTCATGCTTTAGTGTAAAGACACATTAACAACTTAACAATTTTTTTTGGTCCAAAAACTTCTAAGTGGATAGTTGTGATTCAGTGTATAAATGTGTAAGCAAATAAACTATTTTATGGTTTGGGCTGATTTGAAAGTAAATTAGGGCCTTTAGTTTCTATCTGAAATTTTTAATTATAAGCACTAGACAGTTGAAAGACATCCTAAATTAGGTATTATCTTAGCTTTACCTTTATTTACTTTTATATAATTATTCGGATGAAAGATGTAACTATAGCATTGCACAAATTTACTAACCCATCTTTTGTTTTATGTTTCCTAAATGATAAACACATTACATTACATATAGATTAAGGCAATAGATCTCTACTAAAATAGCTAACAGTAAATAAAAAGTAGAAACTAATTCCCATATCTTGGTTAGGAAAAAAATAACTTTGTGAAAAAGACTAATTTGGGGAAAATATGCTATAAATAAATTTTTAAGATATAATTATATGTTCAGATCCATTATTCACAGACTCAAAGATGAGCAAGATATCCGAAAAATAGGAGGTTTCTTTAAGACCTTACCTTTAACTTCTTTTTCTACTTTTGTAAATAATATAAAAATGGTTACTTTAAAACCCAAGTTAGAGAAAAAATATGAGAAACATGACTTTTGATACTGGAAAAAGCAAAGGGCTCCCTTTGCTTGAATTTTTCACTTTGTATTATTGTGGAGTGTTATGAAGACAGAATCACAATGTGACATTTTTGTCCTCATCTTGGATGTCCCTAGCATAAGATTATTACTTTTACAGTAAGAAGGAGTCTCCTATTTGAAAAACAATGACATTTACTATGTAACAGTTAGAAGGAGAAACCATCTTTCCTAAATAGCAGAGTGGCTGCAAATCTTCTAAAGGAATGGTAAAAGATGGCAGGAACAAAACACTTCCCAAACTGAATTTTAAACAATGATTCAAATTATCATAAAATAATTATGTTTCAGTCAAGTGATAATAGATATAAATGTCAATTGACTAGGAACAATGAACATGTAAGCCCATGGGATATTACTATCCAATGTTATCAAGATGTTATCAACTTGGCACCTCCCCTCTATTTGAAGGGTACATTTTAAATGCTCAGTTGGTTTGGCCCTTATTAGTCATCTTGATAGGTATACACACTGAATCACTACCATATGTCTACAGAGGCAAGAGGAAGAGATAATATAGGCTGACTAAAAAATGTGTTTAAATTTGAATCCAAATTATTTAATAGGGTTTTAATGCATCAAATAACAAACTCATCATTAAAAAGTTGAGTTTTGCATATGCCAAATATTTAGAAGGAAAAGTCAGTATATTGGCAGGGAAGGATGAGTGGAGTGAAGGAGTTGGCAAGATCTTCACTAAGAAGGAAAGACTGAGTTAAGTGTTAAAGTATTTTTAAAAACAATTCCAGGTTGATATGGAGGTGAATCTCAAGTAGAAAGTATAAATCCTTAAAGATAATACATAGTTTGATAATTAGGGAAAATCTAAACAGTTTAGTTTGGGTTTTGAGAACTGATAACTAATATCCTTTTCCATAGAACAGACAACCTAGAACCATATACAGAGCTAATTAAACATGCAGTCAGGTAATTAGCAGAGTTAAACATTCATTTTTCACTCATTCCACTATGTTTATTAAATATCTATTATGTGCTAAATCCTGTGTAAGCTGCTATGGATGAATCAATGAGGAATAAAAAGACAGTTTCTGCCACTAGTTTACAGTATGGTGAAGACAGACATCAAGGAAACAGAAAATTAAAATAATGTTGTAGGTGCTACAGTAATTTATTAGTTATTCTGGGAGCACAGAGGTAGGCTACCTAACCTACTCTTGAAGAATCGGAAAAATCATTTTCAGTAAGTGATGTCTAAGTGAAAGACTACATGAAGAGCAAGATTGATCTATTGCAGAAAAGGGAAGAGCATTTTTGGCATTTATAAAAGATGTGGAAGTGACAGAAGAATGGGTCACTGAGGAGACTGCAAGTGAGAGGCAAGCTACAAGTGGAAGTTTGAGACAAGAGGTGAGGCTGGAGAAGTAGCCAGAGGCCAGATATTAAGGATATGTATTTTAATACAAAGCACTGGACTACATTAAGAATTCACCTAAAATACCTTCATAAATATTTACTGAATTAGTTAATAGATATCTATGGTTGATCTCACCCTCACATAATTAGTCCTTATAAGTTCAACTGACCTAGTATATGTATTATATAGTTTCATCCTAGGTCAGGAAATTAAAAATCTGACCGATTTCTTATTTTTCTCTCTATAGGGTTCACACACACACACACACACGATACCAAAGGAAATTATTTCATTCTGATATCTAAAGCAAAGAAAAAAATCACAGCTGGGTGTGGTGGTGAATACCTATAGTTTCAGCTACTCAGGAGGCTGAGGCACGAGGATTGCTTGAGCCCAGAATCTTGAGTGCAGCCTGGGCAATATAGCAAGCCCTTGTCTCTTGGGAAAAAAAAAAAAAAAAAAAGAATTACAGCATATTAATGGAAAATAATTATTCCTTTGTGATGTATGAAACAAACAAGTGACGTCAATGCTGCCACCTATCATTTTATTAAAAATAGTGTTTTTTTAATTAAAAAAACACGGGACTGGAGTAAAAAAGTAGTCTGAGGAATACAATAATTTTGCCTTATATGATGGTATTAAGGTATTTTTCAGCATAATTTTATATAACTTACTAAAAGGCATGACTGTTCTAATTTTTTGTTAATTAAAAAAGTACGATTCGTAATGTACCATGCTTAGGCATGTATGTATATTAAAAAGAGGGTTGAAAAGAAGCTTATATTAAAACCAAAACCAAAAAGCATAATTATTTAAATATTATATAAAACATCATTTTAATTTGCTTGTTTCCTAAGTTGAAAATAAATTCTGCTTTCCAAATGAAGCAATTACTTTTTGGATCTTCTCTATTCAATAATTACCATTTAAAAGTTTTTGAATATTTACTATAAAGCAATGTTATATGAACTCTTCTGATTAGAAAACAAATGCTTGTGGGAAAAATGGGAGCAATTTTATTTTAAAAATGATGCAAATGCATCCTATAATAAAAAAAAGTACACTTAATGATCATATAATTAGATGGGAGAAGTAACAGTATGATAAGATCAATAAATAATAGATTTTACTTCCTAAGCTAAAATTTAGCACAAAATTCAGTTTGCACAGCATGAGTTAGTGTATAAGTTAGACTTTTTTCATTTAGCTGCTTTTGGTATAAAGAATATATACAAACAGTTTACTAAGTTACTTTCACAGTACTCCCTCTTATTCAGAAATACATGTCACCAGATTATGTTATGCAGTTCACTGGCAGAAGATTTACAGTTAAAGTTTTTAAAATGTGGAATTACATAAATTTAGACAGTTGTCTTTAGGATACTTATTTTAGATGGTGTTATTGAAATCTTACATGGCTCACTGGTAGCTATTAGTTAAAATACAAATAATGCAAAAAATAAATTAATGCAGATTAAGTATTATAAATATAATTATAAATATTAAGTATTATAAATATTGTAAAAATAAATATTACATCCAAAAATATAATGTTTCACTCACTATGCTAAGTAATCACTTCTGTGATGTCAGCAGACTAATTTACAAAAATTTCCAAAATAAAGTTGATGGTTAGTTTACATTAGGTGCTTTAGAAAAACTTTTGTGTAAAATACATTAGTGATTATACTACTGCTTCATAACATTATAAAAAAATACTCCCTATACTAAAAGGAATCTTTCCAAGGGAATTATAAACTTTAATTAAAAGTAATGAATAATGAAAGAT